CAGTCACGGAGCGAGAGCGGAAGGTAGCGGGCGGCACGTCGCGTCTGTGTGTGTGTCGGTCCGGCGGAAGTCAAGGCCGCGTGTCGTTACTGTATCTTTGCAGTTATTCTTCATTGTTTTTACAATTGTTTTTACAATTGGTTTCCTCCGCTCTTCGTCGTCCGTCATGGCACCCACACCAAGCCCTTCGGGGCTTCCGGTGTTTGCCATAGTTTTGGCTAGTCCTCATTCTAACGCCATGCTCGGCTAAACGCCATGTCGCCTATGGGCCCCGCTTGTCTGCCGGCCACGGCGCCGCCGTTTGGCCAACCCACCATCGTTCTGATGCGCTCGCCTGAGTAGCGCCCCCCCTCCGCTGCCCCCACCTCCGGCTGTCTCCGCGTCGGGCGTCCAGAGGGGACGCTCGTCAGCAAATCATGTGAACAGCTTCTGTGTGCTATTGTGCTTGTAAATTTTAATCGATTGTTTTACTCACCGGTTGTACATAGTGCTGTGTGTGTGTGCACTAAAATGTGAAATGTTGTAAATGTGAAGTTGAAGTGTGAAGTCAACATTGTTTCATCTCCGGTGAGTTACCCGGCTTTGCCGTTTTGTTCAGATTGTAATCTGTTTGTTCTTGTATGTAGTGTATTATATATTTAATATTGTGGGCCCACGTTTTTCTATATTTATTCGCTGTGTATAGCGTTTGTTTTGTTCAACTTGTACTACCCTGTATTTTAGGGTTCTATTTCGACAAGTTGTCCTTGTACTCTTTTGAGTCTTTTCTTCATTGAAGTTTTTGCAGTGTATTCTGCTCTAGTGTTGTTTCCAGAGTGTTTATACTCTTATATTTAATCAAAGTCAGTTCTGTACGTTTTTGTACTTCAGTTTGTTTCAATGAACCCGGTGACTTTATAGCTGAAATAAATAGCTTTTTGGTACTCTGTAAAGTTTTGGGTACTCATATTAATTTCTGCAACATCCCTTGTTTTTGCAATATCAATATCTCGCTCGTGAGTCGTCAAGAACCCGGAAGAGCAACGCTTTGTCCTGACTCCAGAACATTTCCAACCGAGATATCGTTACAATGGGCGTCCTATTGAAACTCCCCATCCCCCGCGGAGCGCGAGACGCGCGTCCGATCTTCCTGATCCCTCCCATCTCCACCACCCTCCTCCCGATGGTCATCAAAAGCTATACGCGCGCTATGTGAAAAAGAGAGGAGAAGAGCAGTAAGAGGGAGAAAGAGAGAGGTAGGGGGGGAGGGAGAGAGAGGGCGAGAGAAGGGGCAGGATTGGGGTTGGGGGGATCCCGCCGCTCCGTCGTTCTGATCGCACCCCGCCGGGCGAAATGGCGCGAGCTCGGGCGCGATTCGAAAAGGGGTCGCGCATTTGATTGTGCGATTGCGATTATGTTTGCCGTCGCAGCGGATAGATGCGAGGCGTAGTGCGGTGGCGCCGCCGGGGGGCCACCGGGGGCGTGGCGCCGGCCGCTCCGCAGGGCACCACAGGGCACCACCCCGGCCCGCTATGTTTGCTCTACTTCTAGTGCGGCCCGCCACCGCGCCGTAACCGCGCCGCGTGCCCGACGAGAGCGGCGCGAGGCGCGGGGAAAGCGGGGGTCTTTGCCTAATCTTTGGCACAAATCCGTGGCGGCTGGATGCCCATGTTTGATCAGGGTAATGGATCTAAATCCCTCCTCCTCGCGACCCTCCCACGGGACAGTCACGGCCACCACTTGGCGGATCAGCTCAGCTCAGCCCGGCGCGTGCTCGGTCGGCCCCGTTCCGCAGCGGTGCATCAGGATCAGGGGGCTCAATGACATGCAGCTGCGGCTGTCTGCTGCAGGCAATTTCCACGGAAGCATTTAAAATATATATTGTGGGAAGATGTAAATAAGTATAAAACACGCTGCACTATAAAAAAGAAAAATTAGTGGGGTTTTACCCGCCCAGTGAACTTGCAACTTTGTCCAGCGGCCTTGCAAAGATGAACAAAGTTGCAAGTCCTCTGGGCGGGTAAAACCCCACTTATGGGTGATCGAATTCACTACTCGTGCGCATGTAGTGGAGAATCACATTCCCACTGTGCGAATTTCGAGAGTGGGTTGTTAGATCCACCAGGTTGGCAAAATTTACCACCATTGCATACCCACACGGGCGAAACGCTTGCATTTTTTCCTGATTCTAGTATTGAAAAGATGACACGTGGCTGTGTACATTTATTAGAAACCGGGCATTTACTAGACAGTGGATTTTTAGTCAGGAATTGTTTCCTTCAAGCGGAGAGGTCCGCGGCTCGATCTGAGAAACCGTATGTTGGTTTGCTGACGCTTCTCTACGAGTGAGTTCATCGTAGCCTAGTTGTCAAGGATGCGGCGCAGCAAACCAGAGGTCTGAGGTTCGAATCCAGGTAACAACAAAGGTAAAAGAATTTGATTTAATGTGCGTTAATAATCTGTTAAAAGTGAACGCACGGTTAGAAGGAGGGAGAAGTCCGGAACGGGAAAATCCGGCTCGGGTAATTTCTTTTCCCAGGGTTCTTCGTTTTCCCCACCCTTGGGCGTGACAACCCCTCTCTGCCTGCCCATCTTGCGAAATCCAACGCCCGTGGGCAAGCTCGTGAACTCAGCACGCACGCCCAAGGTTTGAAATGCGTGGGTCGGAGACCATACTTCTCCATACTAGTTATACTCGCTTCGGTTCTATGTTTATCAGACTGCCCTTCTACATAGTAGGTTCCATCAGCACTAAGACACAACGCGCCAAACATCTACTGCTGTGTCGTGGCCCTGACACGCGTTACAGAAGCGACATGCATGTCTAATGTTTAGTTTTGAAAAAAGGGCGCCGTGGAGATGGTCACCTGCTGTTACATTAAAGATGGGCCCTGCACCCGGCGGTACGGCGGCGCGAGGCGTAGCGGTCCTCCTGAGCACCAGGCCGGACCGCGGCACTCGGGGCACAGCGCCTGCGAAGTGTCGGGTAG